AATTAAACCTTATTTTCAATAAGCAATCCTGAAAAATATTTGGGGGTGCTTAACTTTTTCCAGGTGTATAGTTGGAAACACCATATTTTGATTGCAATTACATCATCATTTATTCCAAAATTTTTGTATTTTATAATAAAAAAAAACAAAAAAAAAACGGAAATTGGTTAGAGATTATTGTTCGTGTTATTTATTATGTCAACACTTTCAGTAAAACACTGTGTAATTTTATTATTTCCATACGTTTCAACACCATTTATTCCAAAATTTTTGTGTTTTATAACAAAACAAAACAGGAATTGGTTAGATTATTTTTCACGTTATTTATTCATAAATAAAATAACATTATGATATTTTTCTTTATTATCTAACAACAGAATGACATAAAAAAGTTTCTCTGGTATTATCTATGACATGATAATAATTCAGTCTTTAAAAACTGCAACTAGCCATTAAAAGTAAGATGCCTCCAACTGCACGAAATCCTCTATTATTATGTAGAAACTGTAACAACAAAAAAAGAACAATATATTAAATATATATATATATGTATGTCTACCATCATATTGAAAACAACCATTTTATGACAAAACTATTACTTTGTTAATAATATACCCATTCTGTGTGACCTCGGGGGAACAATTTTGTATCTAAACATTACTCAAGTAACTAACAGAAACTTGTATATTTGGAATATGACAACTGTGATTGTTAATGTACAGCAGTTTTATTTTTTGGAACTGTTTTGTATTTTAAGAAAATGTTTTCAAAATATTCAAATGATCAACATTTTAGTACACAATTAAATTCTATTTTAAGACTGATCAATGTCTTAAAACAGACACTACACATTTCAATGTTGAAACATCATCCTCTGGAGTGTGAAACAAATCTGTGTAATCATATATATATATATATATATATATATATACAACAAACGACACTTAGTACTTAGTAATAAAGTAATTTTAATTTTAATTAGTAACTTAAAACTTAATTTAAGTTTAATTACTTAACTAATTATTA